TTAGAAGGCGAAAAATTCCTTATGGAAAAGAGGCCCCGAGTTCTCTCGCCTCCTGCTTTGGTTAACTTATACTAAGCAGACACCAAGCCACTGGTAGCAACTATCTTGGCTTTAATTATTTAAAAAAAATATTTAAATTTCTTTTCTTTTCCTGAGGAGAGTGGTGAGGCTCCACCTCCCTTGCCTCTAGTGACTGCACGTCCCTGCTTTGAGGTCATCTCTTCCTCCCTCCTACATCCAACTCGGGACTTCACAGTTTCTTAATTTGGGCTTCTCTTTGGAATGTGCTGCCTCCTTCCTAGGAAGCTGTGATGTTGCTGAAAATTTGCCCCTATTCCTTCTCCAAGTGCATATTTCATAGCAATGTGTTAATAGAAATATTCACAACAATAAGATCTACTTATTTTATCTGCAATAATTCTGGGAATATAGGTTAATATATGATTTGTCCCAAAAGCATATAGAGGATTAAATGGAAAAAAAAATATGGAGCTTTGAATTTGGATTTATCTCATCCTAAATCAAAATTCTTTTTTTTTTGCTTTTTGCCATTTGTATAATTGTATATGATTTAAAATACTTAATTCTCTGTTTAAAATGTCTTAAATCCAAAGAAGGTGAAACTCACCAAGTTTCAAATGAACCTCACTGTTTTGAAAGTCTCTAATATTCATAAAGTGGTTACTCAATATTGCATATGATTAGAAAGTGAGTATCAGTCCCTAGTAGAGGCTCTGCCACTTCTGAGAACAAAGATGTCATCTCCATTACCTCTTGGCACTGAAACCCATGGGAGATCTGTTTTATGGGGCCACTCAGAGCACTATTGGGTGGTCTCCTGTTTTCTCCTCCAGAGAGCTTTGAAGGAATAGTCTACTCACTGATGTTTATTTTTCAAAGCAGTCACTGTCTCCACATCTTTAATCACCCATGTCTCACACCAGAAGGCCAGATTGGGCTCAGCCAACTGGAATACCAGAGATATTTGGAATATTTGGTTACTTTTATTGTAAGGTTTTAAAAACAAGTATATAACAATATACTCATTGGAAATTACTGAAATGG